TTATCCTAATTATATTTTAAATTTTTTATATTTAAAATGAGATGTTTATCCTGTATTTGATTGTGTTTATCTGCAGTTAGTTACACGAATTCAGTTATGGGATGAAATCGGATAGGGATGAAATCGGATAGGGATGAAATTGTTTAGGGATGAACGGGTTTAAGATTTTTAAGAGTTTAAGAGTTTTTAAGAGTTTTAGCCAAATGCTTTATAATATAGTATAGATATATATATATATATATAATTATTGTACTTTTTAGTTAATTAAATGATAATTTTACTTTTTCTTTTTTCAATCTACTGTTACAAATTTCTTTATTATAACATTGTATTTTCAGTTTTTTTTATTATAGTATTATATTTTTAAAATATTTTTTATTAGGACATTGTATTTTCAAAAATTTATTAATTATAACATTGAGTAACCTATTACCTTTTGAACAAGTTTTTGTTGTTGATGTATCAAATTTAAAATGATATGGAAGCCACATAGGATAACTTGTTATACATGAGAAATGTACGAAATAACAACTTAACTTTACAAATTTCTTATTATAGTATTGTACTTTCAGTTTTTCTTATTACAACAATATATTTTCAAAATAATTTTTATTAGCGCATTGTATTTTAAAAAATTTACCCGTTATAACATTGGGTACACGAAGCGTGACGGGTTCACAAATGGATGCTAAAAAGGTAATGTAAAATCTTCGAGTTTCATGCTAATTTTGTATATTAATTGCATACTAATTTGAACATGAACCATTTCAAGTGAAATCACGATCAAAGCTAATCTCGAAAAAAATAAGGCCAATTGAAAGAACAACTTTGAACAACCTACGAAAAAATACGGTTAAAAAGGATAGAAAATGTAGTAATTGTGACAAGACGGTTCTACTTGATTAAATATCATTGTTAGACGAATGTGAATATGATGGTTTTTTTTTAAAATATGTTCCACTTGTTTAATTTTTGGCATTACAAAGTAAGCTATGATATTTACGATGAACTTGATGAACGAATGGTTTTTAATGAATATTTCGTGAAATGATTATCTTTTATAAACATGTTTAATTTCTAATATTGTATTTTTTAGTAAACATATTTTATTAAATTTAAAATGTTAAAATGATAAAAATATTAAAAATTAAATGTCCAATGCTATAATAAAAATTAGTGATGTTATAATAAAGTAATTTTGAATGTACAGTGCTATAATAAGAAATGTCATGTCAACATTATTGTACATGTGGATAGCCTACGTGGACGATGGGGTGACAAAGAAACGTGGTATAATGGGTAAATTTAATTTAAAAGATTACTCAATGCTATAACAGGTAAATTTTTAAAAAATACGATACCCTAATAAAAAATATTTTGAAAGTACATTATTGTAATAAAAAAAAATGAAAATACAATGCTATAATAAGAAAATTTGTAAAAGTGCATAACTATATCACGCATTTCGCCCTTAAACAAAGAGAAGGTACATGAAAACAAAAACTAAGAATTCGATAAGGAGCAAACGAGCGCCTAACTAAAAGAAAGCTAAACCACAAAGAATAAACCTGCCACAAAACTAAAGCGGAAACAACGAAATCAAAACCACAGCCAATCGAACGACAACGAAATCAACCAAAGCTAACAACCACATTCACTTTTACTTTAAATAATAATAAAGAGAAAAATTTCTGTCTCATAATTATGGGTAGAACGGGAAATAGATATTTAGTTATGAAAGTGGATATTATTTTAGAATAAGTAAAAATGTAAAAATTAATTTTGCAAAAGATAGAATATATGAATTTTTTACATTATTTAAAATAAAAATACATTTATATATGAAAACAAGGGAAAAGTCTAAAAAACCCAATGGACTTTAGTGTTTGAAATGATTAAGTCCTTGAATAATTTTTTGGAACAAATAAGTCATCGAACATTTTTAAACATGTTAAATAACTTCTTGAATATTCTAAAACCTGTTAGATACATCCTTATGACCTATACAACTGGTTAATGAGGTAAAATAATGGAAAAAGTCTGAAAAAAAATTCAATGAACATTCATATTTTGAACGATTAGGTTCCTAAACATTTTTTGAATCAAAAAGTATTTAGATCTATAAAATTAAACAAATATAACAAAAAAGTACTTACATTAACAAAAAAATAATTACATTTAAAAAATATTTTTGATAAAATTTATTTTAATTAAAATTAATATATATTAAGTCAATGATTATTTTTAAATCTTTTTTTTTAATTTGAAAAATCACTGACATAATATCTTTTATTTTTAATTAAAATAATTTTCATTAATAATATTTTTTAAATGCAAGTATTTTTTTTATTTTATATAATGTAAAAACTTTTTGGGTTCAAAAAATGTTTGGGGATTTTATCGCTCAAAATATGAATGTTCATTGTTTTTTTTTCTTCATGATTTTAATACGTTAATTAGTTTTATAGGTTATAAGAATATATATAACAGGTTTTAGAAAGTCTAAGAAGTTGTTTAACAAGTTTTAAAATATTCAAGGACTTATTTGTTCTAAAAAATTAATCAAAGATTTAATCATTGTAAATACTAAAGTCCATTGGTTTTTTAGACTTTTCCCTAAAAACAAATATCATTTTATAACATAATGCAATAAATATTTGTAGTTCAAAAAGCACAGGAGAAGTCATTTTCCTATTTACTACGGAGTGCTTCATGGATGTTGTATCGACACACACACACAGAGAGACATATATACCACATTAAATAATTTTAATATTAAAAAAATAGTAATTGAAGTCATTAAGTATATACTTATTTATTGTGAAATAAAAAACAGAAATGATTAAGGATCGGGGTCCGATGTGGTTGTCAAAGCAAAAAAGCTGGTAATCCCTTTAAGCTTTATTAATAATAAAGATAATGAAATTGGCAAAAGGGGCATTCGTCACTTGATGATGATGGCGGCCATTTCGCCTGAATTTCGGATATAAACATCCCACTACTCCTTCACAAACTGTCTTCCCCTTAAAAACACACACACACACACACACACACTTTCCTGCTCCAATAATACACACACACACACACACACAGTTATTTCTTTATATATATATAGTTGTGGTTGGAATTTGGGGGAGATCATGAATGCAGAGATGAATGGTAATGGTAGTGGTAGTGGTGGTGGTGTGGTGGTGGAGGAGGGGAAGAAGAAGGTGGTGGTGGTGGTGAGGAATGGTGATGAGAAGATAGATTATGTTTATAAGGTGGTGGTGATCGGTGATTCAGCGGTGGGGAAGACGCAGGTGCTGTCCAGATTCACCAGAAATGAGTTTTGTTTTGATTCCAAATCCACCATTGGAGTTGAATTCCAGACTAGAACTCTCACCATTCACTCTAAGCTTATCAAGGCTCAGATCTGGGATACTGCTGGTCAAGAAAGGTACCCACCCACATATATCTCTCTTACATTTTCCATTTCATTCTTATCTCTACTACCATCTGATATGAAATTAAGAGTTCGTTTGAGATTGTTTATTGACTTATTCCACTGTAACATCGGTAATAAGCATTTTTGAGTGTTTAGATAAACAGCTTATACCGGTGTCATACCGGTAATAAAAAGTTTTTGAAGAAGTATAATCATTTTAACTTATAATAAGTTGATAAATACTTTTATAGAAAAAACATAAGTTGTTTTAAATAAGCAATCCCAAACACTCGCTGAATCAATACATCTTATTCATAAGTAATATGGAACAAAACCAGTGTATCTAATTCAAAATCAGGGTTTGGTATAATACAAAAACTAAGATATATATATATATATATATATATATGTAAAATGGTGAAAGGATATAATATGTAAAATGGTGAAAGGTTAGGAGTGAGATATGAAAAGAAGCAAAGCAACGGTTTGGACTTTGGAGCAGATGTCATAACTCATAAGGATATAACATGTAAAATGGTAAAAAGTGAAGGGTGAGATATGAAAAATGAAGAAAAGGACAAAAGGAGGGGTTGGAAATAATCATTGAATACAACTTTTTGTTGACCATTATTTCGGATATGTTTTAGCAAACATAAAAAACAATGTAATTTTGAGTAAATCTTTGGGCATAAAATACCAAAATATCAAATATCCGAAATATTGGTAACGATCGAAAACACCAAAATTAGCATATGAAATTGGGTCGAAATGGTAACTTCGATGGCTTAGTCGAGAGGCTTTTCTATTACTGATTATATGTTTCGTAACTCTGTTAATTAAAATAATCATATCAGTTATTTATAATTTGTTGATATATCAATTTATATATATTAAAAGAATAATAATTGAGCATTTAGTGTTTAAAATATTATTAGTTGTATGAGTGGAGTTGGCATTTGAATTGGCATGTGCATTTGCCTTTCATGCCATCCTGGTTAGGCCCCATTTGGATTACATTCTAATTATACAATACTACTTTAATACATTCATTTTTTTTTAACCTGGATAGCCAACCCGTTATGCGAGCTGATTAATTTCAGGATGACCACTGTTTTGTAAATAGTCCGGAGTCACCGCATTTAAACCTCCGTGACCACAAGATGATTTTTATTCCTCCTTGGATTTGAACCTGAAACCTCTTGGTGGTTTTGACCTTTAGAGCCAAGCTCAAACCAATCAGACACTACCTTTGTGGTTATTAAACAATTTTGATTTCAGTCCTTGTACTAATCATATCTTAATTTCATATTCACAAAAAACTTACCACATTTTGAGATAACATGTTACAAAATATCTGGTTTTTGACAAATTGACACAAAATAACCATTTGTTTTATAAAATCATTTTACGTATACGTTTTGTTACGTATTTAGCAGAATCATGTCAAAAGGTGTACCAATGTAAGATTTCGGACAATGCCCCCAAAATTTTTGATTGGGTCTAATATTATATATTTTAGCATGTACTCGATTTTTATACTTTTTCATTTTTAGCGTATGTTTTAGCTAAATCTCATCTTTCCCGTCATCTTATTTTAGCTCATCTGATAATTATAATCTCCCAGTTTCTTTCCTTTTCTACTAGATTTGATGATTCACCTGATTCTCGATTACGACTGCGAATCTATAGTCCCTTCACCTTAGGTCTCTAATTTAAAGATTAAACTCTCTTAATCAGTTAGCCTCGTTCATTTTTTTTTTTTTTTTCTGATGGCTAATTTTATGATTGAAACACCGAACATATTTCTATTTCTTGTTGTCTGCTTCTTGCTTTCTTCTTCAACAAACAACCTCACCTGCAATTTCCATCGACTTCATTTATGTGATGATGCTAGTCATTATTGTTCAGAGCATTATATAACCCTTAGATAAAACGCAAATGGTGGAGAGTTGAGGAGAATTTGGCCCTAGAAATGAGCAAGGGTTTCATGAGAACTTGAGGTAAACAACAATCGGTAAACTCGTATACGCTAATCTTTAAAATTAATAACTTATTGGAGAAAGTTGACTATGACGAACCGATTGAAGGTTTGTTCAAATGTTTAGAAAAACAATTCTGTAAGTGAATTTTGTACACTACTTCATTATTAAAAGACATTTTTGTTGTTTTTATTTGTAAGATTTTTAATACTAAAAGGGTACTCGCGCAATGCAGCGAGATATATCTCGATTTTAATGTTCTATTTTGTTCTTTGTCTTTGTCGATGTTATAATACAATTTTTTATGTGTCTTTAAGAAAACAATAATGATTTTCTTTTTGAATAAAATATAAATTTGAAGATATCATAAAAATTTGAAAAAAAATATATATCAATGTTAGCATCAAATCAACTATTTAAAAGTTCTCATTTTTTTTATGTAATTTCTTTATTTTTTTATTATAATTTAATTTAAGTTTAATAATGAAATAATTTATTTTTTGTTTAATAATATAATATTTTATAAATATAATAATCAAATATTCTATTAGAGCTAAATGATTGTCCTAATTATATTTTAGATTTTTTATATTTAAAATGAGATGCTTATCATGTATTTGATTATGTTTATCTGCAGTTAGTTACACGAATTCAAATATAGAACTTTAATAAGTTGTACTTATGCACAATTTACTTGTAATCTTGAGTTGTAAGTAACATGTATTAATAAACAGTACTTTATGCATAAAAAAATTTTAAAAGTTTTTGTCAAATACTTTATATTATAGTATAGATAATATATAATGTGAATTTTTATATTTTGTTTTGATACAAATGTAACGAAATCTTTAAAAAAAATTAGAACGACCCCGAAATTTAGCAAAATTGTTCCACAAAAATGCAATTCTTCCCTTCGTAAATTGGGTCCGAGAACACTAATTTTTCTCTCACAAATGAGATTCCAAAAATTAGGGTTTTCCATAATGGGTTTACAAAACGCAAGAAAACCGACAAAAAGACTTTGTATTTTGGGAGATTTAAGTTCATTCGAGTTCTGCAAAGACTATTGAAGATTTTCTTTGACTATTATTCAAAACCTTTGAGATTAGTTGATGTACATGTAAGCGAGCCTTGATACCCACGGTTAAACCCGATAAAAAGGGCTTTGTGATTTTTTTTATTAAACCAGTAATTATTTTGTGCCGATTTACAAAAAAGACTGCACTAATTATGAGTTCATTCATTTTGAGATGATTAACAAAAACTTGTTGGTAATAGATATCGAGCAGTAACAAGTGCATACTACAGAGGAGCATTGGGGGCAATGCTGGTGTACGATATCACCAAGCGACAGTCATTCGATCACGTAGCAAGATGGGTGGAAGAGCTCCGAGCCCACGCCGATAGCTCCATCGTCATTGCTTTGATCGGAAACAAAGCCGATCTTGAAGATAAGAGAGCCGTTCCATCGGAAGACGCCATTGAATTTGCAGAGAATCAAGGTTTATACTTCTTCGAAACCTCCGCCCTCACCGGCGACAATGTGGAAGCTGCCTTCTTTAAGCTCCTAGAAGAAATCTTTTCGGTGGTTTCCAAGAAAACCTTAATGGATCAAGATGTTGCTAAATCCAGCCCTGATTGTCTGACGCTTAAAGGGTTAAAGATCGACATTAATGGAGGACCTGAATTGGAGATCAGTGAGATGAAGAAACTGTCTTCTTGTTCTTGTTGAATCCCATCTTTTATGGAACATATGTTTCACCTAATTCACATGTTCAAGTCATTGATTCGCTATATATACATATTATTCGTTTTAACCTGTATATCAGAAGCCCTCTTCTGCTTCATTTTTCCACATTTAAGTAAATACAGCATATGGGTATTGTTCTAATCGATGGAGCTAATGAGAAAGAGGTAATAATGTTGGGTAAATTGGAAAGAAACAAGAGAAAAAAGCAAACGTGGACGTGTCATCATATAAAGCTCCCATCATGTTAGCCCCCCCTCTCACTCTGGCCCATATTTTGATCTTTTTTACCTAAACCCTATAATTATCGTCTGTTTGTCGCCAGCAAACACACGTAAAACACAGTGGGTATTTCTGTATGATGTTTATAAAACTTAAAACTGCAATCAAGTTTTATATAAGCTCTTGTATCAAGAAAGAAGAAAATGAAGGTATTTAATGGTTAATGTTAACAGTAATTACTCCTGTTAATTATGTTTGTGAATCTTGATGAATATTCATTTCACATTTCATCAATCCACAGATCTTCAGTTGGATTCATCGTAGATTTCATCAAAAAGGTGTGAATTGTGATCCGTTTTGTTACTATCTGTTCCTTTTCATTTGTTATAACTTTGTAATGGGTGTATATGTATATTATATATATATATAAGCAGATGGAGGAAGCCAAGATTTCAAGAAAGGTGATCATAATGAGAAGGTAGCACTGCTTGAAAAAGAAGATTTGGGCAGTGCATGTGATGGCTGGAAAGAAGGTATTCTTGTTATTGGTACATTTGGGATTGATCTTTTCAAAGATTTAAACCCTAAAGATGATGGGAATCAAGTACTGTTTTTTGGTGATCATGAAGACCAAGAGGAGGAGAAGGAGGAGGATCAAGAAGGAGAAATGGAATGTCCATTGGTTCTAAAAGCTTCTAATCATGGGTTTGATCAGAAACAAGATCCTGATGAAGCTGCTAAACCTAACAATGGTGGAGGATATGTTAAAGATTCAGTGGATTTGGATATGGAAATATTGAAGAAGATTAAGAAGCGTGGAGAGAGAATCACTCTTGCTGACTTGCTTTGGGCCGACTCCGAAAACAACTTGTTGAAGAACAACAAGTTATCTGATGATGATCATCATAATAAGGTGATCAAAGTCCCCACTGTTAGTAGTGAATCCATCAAGAAACATGATGCACATGACGATGATCATGATGGGTGTTTGATCTCAAAGAAAAAGAAGAAGCTCCCTAAAGATGATTCAGCTGATCACCCAATCAAGAAAACAAAACGAGTAAGCTTCTCTCTCATCTTTCACTCATTCTGAGTTAGGGTTTTCTGCATCTTTTGTTACTAATTATTGAAAACTTGTAATGTGGGTTAATTGCTGCCATTTATGTTTAAAGTTGATGAGAAAGATGTTGAAGAAGAAGAAGATCCATCCAGATATCGGGATCCAAAAGATGGAGACTGCAGATTTCATCTATCAACAAATGGATCATGTACATGCTACCTGATGAGTTCATCGAGCCTTCAAAACCCGTGGTACTAATTTCTCTTAATCATCAATCTTCGGTCCAGACTTGTATTCTGTAAAAATATGTGAAACCCTATTAAATTATCCTTCAAAAGAGCTCCTAAGGAAGACAACATATATATGTCGAAGAAAAATGGTTCAAGTGTAGCTGATGTAGGACTCAAATATGCCTCATCCAACAGAGGCTAGATGGGTCCAAATTAGAATGGTATTGACTCTGATACCATGTAAGAATATGTGGAACCCCATTAAATTACTCTCCAAAAGAGTTTTTGAAAAAAAAAATAGATGATCTATTTAACATATATCGGAAATAAATGATCCAATTATTAATTAACGAACTCCAATAGTACCAATGAGAATTTTATCTCATGATGAAGAAAGAATCCAATTAGAAAGGGCCAATTTGTGTCACATGCCTCTTGATCATATCATATCCACTTCAAAAGATGAACATATATCAAAAGGTTACTGTAGCTGGATGGATAGATGGAGGCATATTATCTACAGTTTCAACTACCAAACCTTTTTGTCAAAAGGTTGTGTGCTAACTATATGTTTTCTTTGTCTTGATGCAGGTATTTCTACTGTGTTCGCAATTATCCGTCTTACGTGTCGATTGTTTTCCCTTTCTTGTATTTGTTAATTGTTGTTTTATAGTATTTATGGTCGAACTATATATGTAAGATGGTGTTTCTCATGTTATTAACTTCCATCAAACACTCGAAAATTTATTATGTTTTCAGCATCGATAGTTAGTTTTTGATTCAGTTACCAGTTTCAGAAGTACTGTAAAACTTTCCACGAGATATAGATGTCATTTGGTTGCTATAATTTTTTTTACTGAATTGACCAATCTTGGTACGGTGAGTTGATTCATCTTATATGGTCGTTAATATCGCATATGCATGTGTTGTAACTGTTGCGATTGATCGTTTCTTACAGAACCTCTTCCGTGTATATCATTGAAGTTGTGACAAAAGTTCAAGGCGTAAAGTGTAATTAAATGAATTATTTAGAAGAGTTACAAATTTTTTTATAGCAACAAAATATGAATTATATAGAAGAGTTACAATTTTTTATTTTATTTTGAGTTATAAGAAATATAACGGTGGGGTCTTAAGAATATTCCTATAAACTCAACCTCATATCTTCTTAGATTGATATAACATTCTTTGATTAGAAATTCTCTTACGTATTTTTGGATGATGGTTCTTTGGTGTGGGCTAGGCTTTCTTTTATTTGGAATTCCGGGAGCACAAAGTGTATTTCAAGGAACCTCCTTTAGACTGGATTTGTTTTTTTTTGTTTTTTTTTTTTTTGACATTGCACTGATTTCATTTCGCTAGCTTTCTGCTAGCGCTAATAAGGGTTTCAAGTGGGGCGGACCGCCTAATGGGCCTATAGGGGCCCTGGCCCCTGTGATTTTTTTCCCAAGTAGCCTTCAATAGTGTAGTCCATTAGCTTCTAGAACACAGAAAATTTCAACCGGCCCCCCCTTCCAATCCCGAGAGGCGAGAGCGACCACTGCAGCCTATGGAGTGTGGAGGACGAGGACTCGAGGAGCGTACTGCGCACGTCTGATCGACAGAAGCGAGAGCGCAGCGAGCCAACGACCAGCGTAGACGGCGGGCGGAGGCGGAGGCGGCACTTGGCGGTCGACGGCCAGCGCCCAGCCGGCCACGGTAAGTCCGTCCTTCTCTTCTCTCATTCTCTACTGACTGTTGCTTGCTGCACTTCTGCTACTGCTTGCTGCTAATGACAGGGAACACAAATGTGAAATGTTGGACCTTTTGTTTTGAAATCTAAACCCAAAAGTGGTGATTTACTGATTTAGGTGATTATTAGGTCTAAATTTATGACTTTATGTGGTGATTTAATGGTTATGTGGCTGAAATTGGTTATTTAGATATGCCTTTGGTTTGGTATTTGCAATCATATATATGTGGAAATTAAGGTCATTCTTGTACACAGTTAACAATTCACTGGTTTGTTCTTTGGTTTGTTCTTTTGGTACAAAATTTGGTTAATAGTAATTCAAATGTTGTATGTCAATTAGCTGATTTATTAGGTCTAAATTTATGTGGAAATTAAAGTCTAAACTCTAAATTTAGGTGATTTAGGTGTATGCCAATATGAATTGAAATCATACAATCTAACACTAAAACTGCTATGTAGATAAAGATGAAAACTCAACCTACCATTCATGGGTTTTTTAAAAGAAAGCATGCTAGTTCTTCTTCTTAAGATCCTGAAGAAACAACAAATGTAGATAATACCCCTGCATCTAGTATTACGCCTATTGAAAACCCTTGCAAAAAAACTCAAATTGAAAGTAATGATATTGATCTGGGTACACTAGAACGAGACCCTGCTTTGCGTCATCAAATTTATGATTATCCTATCAATCAACAAGATACAATTCGACAAGCTTACATGAATCTTGGTCCTCTTCAACCTACACTTTCTATGTTTCCAAAATATGGACTAGAAAGTCATAGACGTAGCTTTCAAGCTTCTTGGTATAAGTTACATCCTTGGATTTCAGTGATCATGAGAAAACAATTCTGAAAATGCAACTTCAACATTATGCTATTGATGTCGTTCAACATGTAGATTATAAGCAATTGACATCTCTTGCAGAATTGGGTCAATGGTTGGTAAGGACTAGAAGAGAAACCACTTTTGATCTTATTTATCGATTAATAAGTCTATTACTTACTCTTCCAGTTTCTACCGCGACAACCGAGATATCGTTTTCAGCAATGAATATTGTGAAAACAAGAATACGGAATAAAATGGATGATGAGTTTCTAAATGACTCGTTACTTTTGTTCATCGAAAGGGAAGTAGCTGAAAAGATTAGTTTGGAGGAAATTGTGGAAGAGTTCAAGGTCGCGAAAGATAGACGGGTTCCACTTTGATTGGCGATGTTTGACATGTTTATATTTAACGTTTAGTTTTAAAGTTTTACTATGTTATAACTTTGGATAATGTATTTTTGGTACCTTTGAAATATATAATATACTAGTTCCGGCCCCTACGGTTAGAAAGTTTGTGTTCCGCCCCTGTTTCAACTGTTTTTGAATGAATTGATGTTACACCCGGGTGGTTAGTTGGGTTCTTTTGCCTTGCTGCCGATCCGTTTTCTGTTACTCGTAGTTTAATTTTGTCTTTTGTTAGTTGTCGTGCTCTCTTTGTTCGTCTATTTATGCTTCTTGTAGTAGTAGTACTCTCATTCTTTAATATACTTGTAACGTACTCACACACAACGCAACACAAATCATTTCGATTATGATGCCGAGAATCCAAAACGACTATGTCGTCTCGAGTTTTATTTTATCTTTCGTCCCTTTCGATACTATTTTTTTAGCAACAACCAAATTTTCATAAAAGCTGGCAAGCAGGTAGAAAAAACAACACATTACAACGACCTGAAAACAGTCAACATGATAGGAACCTCCAGAATAATGGATCTCTTGCACTTCTCTTGTACCCAACCAAAACCCAACTATAAGACTTTTACACAATTTGATCAATTATTGAATCCTTACGAGGGGGAAGACAATTAAAAATAAATCTATTCTGAAACACCACGATATGTAGCATCCAATGAAAATCACCCTTCCAAAGTTGTCTTAACATCCCCATGTTGGTTTTATAGCTCTGATGTCACCGATCATTGTCCTCCATCAACTTGTAAGCAGAAAAGAGGGAAGACCACTATTGCTCAAAAAACCGTCAGACCTCCGAAGCCACTTCGCAGTCGAACATCAAATGCCTAGAGGTTTCGATATCTGACACACATATCAGACATAACGCTGAATCAATATCTATCTTCCTCTTTTCTTCTCATTTTCTTTCACCAACTCATTCTTTTCTCTCTCATTTTCGGTCCAAGCATTTTTATTCCACCTTAATCGATTTCGTCAAAGAGGTTTTTGAGATCAACGCTAGATATTCAAAGCTTGGGGACCCAAAATAAAGATCACCATCTTTTCCGACCATATTTTCACCATCGTTGACTTGGTTTTAGGGTTCTTCTCCTAAAGGCCTTTTTGGTCGATTTTCTTGAGAATCCTGAAGATTTTGCTTGTAGTTCGAAGTTCTTGAAGATAGATATTCAAAGCTTGTGGATCCAAAGTCAAGATCTTCATCTTCTTCCTCATCATTTCCACCATTGTTGACCTAGTTTTGGGTTTTCTCCAAAAACCAAACTGTAAGTTCATCTTAACTTTCCAAGGTTTTATTCTTGTTAAAACCTTCAGTTTAACCTCCTAGAACATCCTTGTTGATATATCTTTCATATTTTGAAGTTTTGACCAATTTTAGGTATTTTGAGCGATTAATTAAAGGATTTGACTAAGGTTTGTTATGAATATGAGTTTGGGGTTACTTTTGGTTGTGACCCAGATAAAGTTTCAAGAGGTAGATGTTGTTGGATCCAAAGCCTTCACCATTTTGGAAACTAAAGATGTATTTGGAACCTAGGTTTAACCTTAGCAAGGTGAGTTCAAGTTGCTTTATGAAAACTTTGTACATGCCAAAAATATTTATTTTGGAATCTTAAAGTGTTTACCTTGATATTTATCAAATATGTTAATTATTTGACGAAGTTTGTGTATATGGTACTTTTGGTTTAACACATCTTGAAAAAACGCATATATTTAGGATATTTGAGTATTTTGATAAATGGATCATAAAAGTGTTATTTTGATGATTTATCCCTCTTATGGGATTATTTGTGGCTTATACACCTTTGGTATTTTGATTTATAAATCATTCGAGAATTACAAATGGTTGAGTTGTTGGGCAGATTTTGAGTGGCATTACTTATTTGGAAGTATTTTATTGAAGTTATGGTGTATTTTGGGATTTTGTCTAACCTTTGAATTGATAAAAAGGGAATTCAAATCTTTTGAGCATAAGATGTATAAACTTTAGTGGTTTATACCGACTTTTATTGAATGTTCAATTGCATTGTTGAGTTAATGACTCGGTTTTGACTCAGATGAGTCATGAAGACATTTGCCCATTTTTATTTTCTATATGTTAAGCTTGGGACATGATATGCATTTATTGCATTTTTATTGAAGCCCCCAATTCCAAAGAAAAACCACAAATTGACTCCAAAATTGATTTAATAACTTTCGCCCATGGGGAGTTAAGGTCGCTCTTGAATTTCGAGACCGATTTTGCGAAAAGGGATAAATTAAAAGCGAATAAACTTCCAAATATCAAGACTTCCATTTTTCTTGTCTCTAAGCACGGTTCTCCAGTTAATCCAAGCCATTATTATTATTATTATCATCTTCCAATCTCCAAAAGAAGTTTCTTCTTAGTTTCTCCAAGGAGTCGATCACCCTTTTGGGAGCTTTGAAAATCAAAAGGTAGTACACTGCGATGCTACCGAGCACTGCTTCAGTCAACACCCGTCTCCCTCTGAACGATGGAGTTTTAACCTTCCATCTATTTAGTCTCTTTTGGAAACTCTCTATAATCAAATCCCACGCTTTAACCCTAGACATTTTTGTACCCAACGAAACCCCCAAGATATTTACTTGGAAATTTCCAAACCTTACAGTTAAGTTCTCCAACAACTTTGTTAACAACATTCTCTCCCACACTCACACTGAAAAAATTGCTTTTAGCTAAATTTAGACGAAGATCCGAAGCACAGAAGAAGTACCTTAGAATACACAATATATTCCTCCCTTCTTCGATAGACCATTCATTAATGCAAAACGCATCATCCGCATAAAGTAAATGAGATATGTTAAAATTATAAGAACCGATCTCCAAACCTTTTATCAACTTAATATTACTGGCTTCCGTCATAAGCGCGTGAAATCCTTCCATGTCAATGATGAAGAGAATAGGCGACAACAGATCCCCTTTGACGAAGACCTCTCCTTAACCGAAATTCCGTGGTTGGGGATCCATTAACTAAAATCGAGGTTGTGGTTAAACAAAGACCAGCCTTCACCTATCTCCCCCACTTCCTCATGAAACCGGTAACCTCCATCATCGCATCCATATACCTCCAATCCACCGAATCATACGTCTTCCTGAAATTTTTTAGTTTGTTGTGAAATTAAATCAAAAAATCAAATGATATATAAATTCAAAGTTTATATGTTCCATTGGTTAAAGATTTTGAAATAAAATAGTTCGATTCTAACCCATATTATTTGTTGTTCTTGCTATTAAAACAAACTAATTCGTAGTTATTCATGATGTATATTATGATTAAATCAAAAAATATTCAATAGTAAACTCATTTTAAAAGTATTGACGTGATGATTATAATAGTATAATTTGTAAAAAAAGAAACATATAACATTTTAATTAATATACCATTATTTATGTTAATACGATAAATACATAAAATTAAAAATTAAAAAAAGTTAAAAGATATAAAATATATTAAACCACTAATTATAAGAGGATAAAGTGTAATTTAGAAATTAAAAATGATTTGACTTTTAATATATAAAAGATTGTGGGAGATGGTGACTTGTGAGCTTTAACATGTTGCGTATTATGCTTAATTAATTGTACATCTTAAAAATTCAAAATAACCCTAACTCGTCTTTTTATAGAAGAGGTTTAAATTTGCTGCTTTTCAATTTTTTTCAATAAGCTAATTGTAAATTTGTAATCCTAGTTTTAAAGGCCGTTTATCAAATGTTTATCCGAGTAAGCGCTTACCAAAACACATTATATAATCGGATGAGTATGTTAAGGATCAAGAATCTTACCTGGTAAGTGAGGGCAATGACTGTTACCACGGTAAATGTTTACCGGATAAATTATTGTATACGATGGACTAAAATCTTATCCAATAAGTAAATGATAGTGTTAATTTTTGTCGATAAATATTTAAACACTTACAGTTGTGGGGTGAGATTAGGGGTGTTCAAAAAAACGGTTGGACCGCTCAAACCAGCCGAACCAAGTCAAACCAGACCGTTTTTGGCGGTTTGAGCGGTCTGGCGGTCCGGTCTGGTTTGGAAAATAGCAAAACCGGGCGGTCCGGTCCGGTCTGCGGTTTGGAAACTTTTTTGGGCGGTTTGGACCAAACCGACCGCCAAATACATACATACATATATATATATATATATATATATTTATTTATTTATTTATCTATTTTAATATTAGCAAGCACAACTTTTTTAACTTATTGACTATGACCCAAATTAACATAATCAAAATCGACGAYTAAAACCATTAAACCATTGAACATATCGACACATTTGATATTGACGGTCTCCAAAKTTTGAAATCCCTCAAAAACTCAATTAATCTATTGATCTTTCTAATYCATGGTTTGATTTCGGCGCACATTATCAAGACATCAACCAAGTGATTCAACCAACTTAGATTTGGMTTCTATTTTGTTTGGTCAAGACTTAAGAATTGAACTATTGAAGGTTGTAAAGTCGTGAATTTTGTTACTCAATACTYACAGTAGAGTTGTAATTTTGTTATTTTATTTGTTTTCTAATATGTTATATCTTTATACTTTAGATTGCCTCGACTTTGTACTCAAGAACTGCTTAATTATTACATTAATTTGATTAGATATTTTTTTGTTAAAATGGATACTTAATCTAAAATTCTAAATTATATATATATATATATATATATATATATAACCGGTCAGACCAGACCGCTTTTATTTGGTCTGGTTTGACCGGTCTGGGCACTTGATGTCAAACCGCTCGGTTTAAAAATTTTATAAACCGCCATTACGGTTTGGTCTGTGGTTTGAGGGGATAAACCGCCCAAACCGGACCGCGAACACCGCTAGGTGAGATAGTCAAAGTGGGAATGTAAATATATATAAGAAGAGGGATTTGTTTTGAAATATGATATAATCGGCCGTTACACAAACCCTATGATCTCCGATACCCGACCAAATTGGGGTCGCTTACTTCTGTAAACCCTCTCAATCTCTTGCAACCAAATCGACGGTGAGTGTCCATCTTTTTACCTGTTGCTTCTCTATCGTTGCTCCTTACTGTTACTTATCGAAATTGATGATGCTAATTTAGGTTGCTTCTTACTCTTGCTTCTTTAAATCGTTGCCTCTTACTCTTGCTTATCGAAATCGGCAGCAAGTTTTCGTTTGCAGGTACGTTTTCTGGTAGATTAGGTTTGTTTCTTTCTCTATTACTGGTTTTTGCTTTTCTTTTCTTGAAAATTACAGTTTATTTCCTCTGTTTTTTTTAATTTGTTGTGGTTGGTTTTGCTGTATTTTCTTGGTTGATGTTGGGGTTCTGTTGTTGTTGATATAAGATTTTGCTTTGCTGATCATTAGCTGCTGAAATATCTACTGGTTTTTGGTTTTCTATTGCGTTGTTGATATTATGTTGGTTTTTGTATTTGCTGTTGATTTCATGAATCTTCAATTACCACTTTTTATGTCATTGTAATGTTGGTCTTCAATAACACTCTGAATGAGTTTAAATGGATCTATTCCGGATAAGAGTTTAAATGAACCTTTAGATCCCAATTAATTGAAATGAAGTAAAAAAACAAATTGAACACGATTTTACACATATAAACCACTGTTCATTATCAATGGAAGTATTACACAACAAGTTTATTTGGTGCTAATGCCACAGCTAAATCGAAAACCTAAGTGCTGAGAACATGATAAAATCTGCGGGAAAAGAAATTTAGAATAATAAATAAATTTAGAAATGATGATGCTAAATTTCAAGCCAATCATGTTATATGCATGAATTAAAAATGATACAAACCAAAGGCATCAATACTCACTTGAGAGTAGAAATTAGGGCTTATAATACAGCCAAACATAGGAATAAGATCACTAGGGCTTATTGTCTGGGTAAATTGGGGAATATGGGGTTGGAGGGGACGAGGGGTGAAGATGGACGACAAATGAGAAGTAAGGTGTTCTCAGATTTATTTTGTTATCAGCAAATAGGTTTTTGATTTACCAATGTACATTTAGCATTGAATATACTTGTTCTCTAATAATTCCATTGATAAAAATCAACAGTTTACGTCTGTAAAATTGTGTTCTATTTGTTTCAAGTTATTTCAATTAGTTGGGGTCTAAAGGTTCATTTAAACTCATCTAGAGTTTGATTTTAGACTATGGCGTGGATATTTTATGTCTTGCTTCTTCTATTTAACATTGTCCTCTCACATCTGTACCACATTCTGGTAGGTCTCTGGTCAACAATTTGGATTCTTCAGTTTGTGGGTAGTCCATGTATTTTTAATTGATTATAAATAACTTCAAATGGTTTCAATTTGGTGATAAGATCTGAATCATGTAGATTTGTAATTAGTTTAGCCTTATTCTTTTCAAAGAGCTTTTGGGTCATGGCTATGCTGACTAGTGGATGACCACATTTTTGATAATGTGGGTTACAAAGCCCTAGGAGTGGTAAAACTACCAAGCACCTGCTGCACATATACAACAATTTTTTAAAGAGCTCTTGGTCATGGCTATGCTGACTAGTGGATGACCACATTTTTGATAATGTGTGCTACAAAGCCCTAGGAGTGGTAAAACTACCAAGCACCTGCTGCACATATACAATGAAGGGGGGCAACACTTGGAATGTTAGAAACATTAAGTTACAAAAAGGTGGGAAATGGACGGTTCGTTGCGATTAGCAGCCTATGTGTTAGAATTAGATGACAATGTACTTTTCTTTCAGGAACATGTTAGTGACTTAATCATCACAGGGGTTTCATGCATATATATTGCCATATCTTTGAGTTAGTCGCAAGTTATACTTTAATGTCATTTTCCTTCATTCTATGGGTTCTGTCTCATGTTAGGTGGTTTTCAAGGATACATCTTGTTGAAGATTGATGGATCGGCAGGGTCATGATTATGCAGCGGCTGCTGCCATGGCATTTGCACAGCAGCAACAACAAGCAGCTAATATACAGCAGCAGCAGCAGCAGCAGCCACCACCATTTGGTTTTCACCCACAACATCAGCAATTCCTACCTTCAGTTCATGGCCCTCCTTTTCTACCGCCACATCCTTCTATCCAACAATTTCCCCGCCATCCCCTCATGCAGCAGCCACAGATCCACCCTCATCCTCCATCCCATCTTCACCTTCTTCACCTTCCACAACAACAGCAACCACCCCCGAGTTTTCCTCCACACATGCCACCTCACCTAGGTCCTTCTCCATTCCATGGTCCATATGATGCGCCACCACCACCTGCACCTCCTCCTTCTGATCCCGAACAACAAAAGTGTATTGATAAACTTGTCGAGTATGCAGTCAAGAATGGCCCTGAATTTGAAGCCATGATTCGTGAAAAACAGCAAGATAATCCTGCTTATAGTTTCTTGTTTGGTGGTGAAGGCCATAGTTATTACCGGTACAAACTCTGGTTAGCTGCACGTCCCCCTGGTGGCATGTTCAACCCTCCTTTTCCTTCAGCTTCTGTTAATATGTTGCATCCTTCTAATGCTATGATGAACCAGTCGTCTTTGAATGCTCCACACTTAGCTTCTGGTCCTGGGGCATCTCCATCTGTGATTGGTGGGCATCAAATGCATCAACACCCTTATCCACCATACTATGAACAACAGCATCACCAGCATTCTCAGCCTTTTGTCGGTCATGGGCGTCCAGAATATGACCAGTCCTCCAGGACTTTCAAAGGTCTCTCTGGGCCACTTCCTTCTGATGTTGCTTCAGAGATGAATAATGTGCTCAACAGCCTCACAGGCACCAAAGAGTCAATCAAAGGCGCCAAAATGTGGTTCATGCAAAGGTCTCCATTTGCACCGGCTTTGGCTGAGGCACTTAGAGATAGGGTGTTTTCTCTGGATGACTCTGAAAGACAGTTGCATATAATTTACCTTGCCAATGACATCTTATTCGACAGGTATGATTAATATTTAGCATACATACTTTTGGTACCAACTCACACATCAAGCACCTTTCCTATGACGATTAAATATCCTCTCGGACTCTCGAGAGCACACACTATCTTATGTCAATGGTTGAATGGATGCATGCGTGAACTTCAGCTACTACAATTGTAAAGAAGTTATGTGAACTGTGAAAGTGTAGGGTCTATTGAAAAGAACTTGTGATGTGATTCCTTCTTCTGGAATTGTCATTAATATTCTGTACGTCACGGAATAAGTGTCCACAGTTCTATTTGGGTTTGTACCAGAATAACTGTCCACATTTCTACTTTAGTTTACCCCAAAATTCACAAGTCTATTGCTGCCCTCACTGATCTGTCCCAGCGGTAGAGGTGTGAGTGTAATTCGTACGAGCGAGGTTCCGGGTTCGAGTCTGGGCACCACTCTTCTGCCAATGGAATGTATGAACTGATTTACCTCCCCCATGATGACTGTGGGACCAGTGCAACGGGGGCGCCTCAGAGGGTGGCGTCTACCCATTTTTTTAATTTATTTGTAGTTTGTACTCTCCGTCCCAAAATAAATCTCCATTTCCACTATGAAAAATGCACACAGTTTTAAAAATATATAATTATTACACTTTTTATTTAATTAAATGGTAATTTTACCGTTAATAATAGAGGTATTATTGAATTTCTTCATCTTATAGTTAAGGGTAGAATTGGAAAGTAGACACTTGTTTTAGGACAAACTAAAATAGAAATATGGTCATTTATTTTGGGATGGAGGGAGTATCAAAATAAGTATGAACATTTCTACTTTTAACTTGTCCCAAAATAGGTGCCCACTTTCTAACGTATGTGTTTATTTTCCAATTCCATCCTTAATTATGAGATTAGAGATTTATCATTAAGGGTAAAATTGTCTTTTAGTTAATTAAAAAGTATAATAATATACACACTCCTCAAACTGTGTGCCTTTTCACCGTGGACATTTATTTTGGTATGGAGGCAGTATCTTAACCTGTACCAAATACAATGGTAAATGCAAATGCTTCTAAGATCTGACCCTGTAAAAGCCTTTCTTAACTCTTGGCCCCTAGTATCAAAACATTATTTGTATCCATAAGATATATATGTTATATGTTTTGGTGCTTAACTTACCCATAAGATAGATATGGGTTCCTTCAGAAACTTGCTTTATACACTCTGGAGGTGAATGTTAACGGTTTGAGGACGGATGGGTTTGACCTTGCTAAACCTTCATAGAGTTTGGTGGCAGCGAGTAAGAGGTGATGCTCAGGGGCCGTTTACCAAACACTTATCAGGTAAACGCTTACCGGGTCAATTACCTTACTGGGTGAGCATAGGAAGAACCGAGAATCATACCCGGTAAGAGGGAAAGCAAGGATCAAGAATCTTACCCAGTATGTGAAGGTGGTGACACTTACCCGGTAAGCACTTATCGGATGATAAATGCTTACCATCAATCCATTTGATGGACGGGAATGTTACACAATAAGGTAAGTGAGGGTGGTGACTCTTATCGTTAAGCGCTTACCCAATAAGCATTGGGTAAAACGGCCCCTTAGTGATCTTGATATGTGGTGCTTATAATACAATTGCGCATCATGCTTCACTAATGCTTACATACTGGTGAATCACACTGTTATACATGCAATTGAGAGAAACAGGGAGAAGTTAGTTTTTGGTTTTGTTTATTTTCTTCGATAATTTCATGTTGTGTTTAAGATTTTTGTTTACTTTTATATGAAATTAATTTGTATGTTATTATCAAAGCAGTTGTGCAGATGCGCCTTCTACTTAGTTGATTGTAGCAAAATCCACCAATAGACATGGGATAGTAATGGGATTTGAAAACTTACGAGTATATGTCAAGATTACATAAGCTTATGTGTGTATATTTTGTTATTGGAAACTGCAGCTTGCAGAGACGTGTCAATCCTCACGAAATCGACAATGAGGCACTTGCGTTTCGACATGTTTTAGGTTCCATGCTTGCACGAATTTACCACAACCCTCTAAACAAGGATGAAAATCAATCACGATTGCAGAAAATCCTACAGTTTTGGGCCTCCAAGGAAGTTTATGATCCTGATACTATACGCGTACTTGAGAATGAGATGCTGAATGGACCACCCGTCGGTTCTTTTCCAGCAAGTAAGAATGATACTGTCCCAGGTGATCCATCAGCCATTCCAGG